TAAGTTGCAGAACTAGACTTGAAACTCAAGACAGCATCTTCCTAAGTCTGACCACTGGGCCATTAAACCAGACTGTTCCAAGGAAATACCCAATTAGAGGGACATCAGAATCTAGTCTTCTTCTGGTTATGAAAAATGGGTATATGAAAAAGAAAGCAAAACACAACAAAAAGGCCTATGGATGAGGTCATGGGTCGCTTAGAGCTAAAATTTGAAAGTTGGATGATAACCAGTAAAGAAAATGTAAAATTTGCTTTGTGCTGTTTAATATGTTCTTTTGCTTACCTGTTTGAAGTTGTAGCTGTCACTGCTCATCAGAGGCATGCTTTCGTCCAACTGCCTTTGCATTTCCCAAATTAAGACAACAGACCTTACTTTAGAAGTATCATTTGCTTGAAAATAGATGGGCAAGTGTAGTCACCCTTGGTTATTACTTTATCCAGTGCTAATAAGTGCACAAGAGCGCCTGAAATCCGGGAAATGGGCCCAACGCCATGGACGAACCTGTCCTTCCTAATTTTTTTAATCACCTGTCTTATAGATAAGTGTGTTCCAGTTCCCAAAAGCAATGATATTTGTAATGACTACATAGTATTCCAGCTTATTTGTGTACCCTGCTATTTGAACAAATTCTTTTTTTTTTTTTTTTTAACTCTGGTCAAGTGGAGCAGGAACAAAGGACAAATTCTTACAATTGATTAACAATTCTCCTACTGCAGAAAATTTAGTTTACGCCCATTTGTCCATTTTGTAAGAAGCATAGTAAATATTCCTGTACTTGTATGTTTTTTCATTTAACAGTTCCTATAGTCAGCAAATTCAGTTTATGTTCACTCCAATAAACATTATTCTATCTATTCATGCAAATCCACTTCCTGCAGGTATTATTTTTCTTAGGTTAAATTCTACAAAAAAGGATACACAGTGTTCCAGGGCTTTTAGTAAGTTTGCCAAATTGCCTTCCAGAAATAATTTACCGATTCACACTTTAACTAGCTTGTTGGGGTTTTTTGGTTTTTTTTTGGTTTGTTTCTTGAGACAGAGTCTTGCTCTGTCACCCGGCTGGAATGCAATAGTGTGATGATAGCTCACAGCGACTTCACACTCCTGGGCTTGAGCCATTCTCCTGCCTCAGCCTCCCAAGTGGCTAGTAGGACTACAGGCGCTCACCGCCATACCTGGCTAATTTTTTCATAGAGAATGGGGTCTTGCTATGTTGCCCAGGCTACTCTCCAACTCCTGGCCTCAAATGATCCTCCTACCTCTACTTCCCAAAATGCTGGGATTACCGGCACAGTGGCTCACACCTATACAATTAATTCTACCACTCTTGGAGGCTGCGGCAGGAGGATTGCTTGAGGTCAGGAGTGGGGACCAAAGTGCTGGGATTATAAGTGTGAATCACCATGCACATCCTATAGTTTGCGTTTCTCCAAATTCTCATCCTAAGTATTTTGCCAATTTTGATACATGGAAAAATCAAATTTTATCATTGAAATTTGCATCTTTTTTTTTTTTTTAGTGGAATTAGCCATTTGCATAGGTTTTTTAGCCATTTGTATTTCTTTTTTTTTTTTTTTCTTTTTTTTTACATCTTGCAATGCATATGTATTTCTTATCTTATGATATAGTTTGGGTTGTTTGCCTTTCTATTTGTTTGTAAAATGTTATTTTCACATCAGATCTTTTCATCAACCCTTACCTTCACAGTTGGGGGCCAGGCTGTGAGGTCTTTTAAATACATTGGATGCTAAATATAATCCCAAGCACTTCTAAAAATGCTAATTCAGTCACCTGCTATTTGAACAAATTCTTTTTTTTTTTTTAACTCTGGTCAAGTGGAGCAGGAACAAAGGACGAATTCTTACAATTGATTAACAATTCTCCTACTGCAGAAAATTTAGTTTACACCCATTTGTCCATTTTGTAAGAAGCATAGTAAATATTCCTGTACTTGTATGTTTTTTTTTTGTTTTTTTGGGTTTTTTTTTGAGACAGAGTCTCACTTTTGTTGCCCTGGCTAGAGTGAGTGAGTGCTAGGATTACAGGCGTGAGCCACCGCGCCTTTTATTCCTTTAGGTTAAAGTCCCAGAAGCAGAATTGCTGGCACGAGGTAACCTTACCCAGTCCTTACTCACGTTTACAGATAAGTCTTGTTCTTCAGCAGCTGCAAATGGTCACTGTGCCTTAGCTGCTAAAATTGCTCCAGCGGAGTATAATTGCTATGATTGTTCTGGGTCATCTGCTATTTCATGTGCAATTCAGTAAACCTTGTGGGCATTGATATGGGGTGATAGGATCACGAACCATTGTGAAAGAATTAGGTTAGTAACTTGACTGTAAGACCGGTTTGCTTTTTCCAGGGGAAAGATGATGGCTTCTGGTACAGACTCTCATTGCCAATGTTTCTCTCTTCCTGTTGCCAAATCTTGCAGGCAATACAGTATGGCACCGAGGACAACAGTACTGCCGTGGTGGTGCCTTTCGGGGCGTGGGGAAAATACAAGAACTCTGAGATCAACTTCTCATTCAGCAGAAGCTTTGCCTCCAGCGGACGATGGGACTGATCACCGGCTGGGACTTTTGGAGTTTCTGTGCGACACTTTTTCACCGAGCATGTCACGAAACAGATAAGATAAAAAATAAAAAAAAAGTCGCCTGTCACCCATGTGACCCTGTGATTCACTAGATCAATGCACAAGTCATTGTGAACTTAATTAATAACCACTTGCATAGTAGTTTTTTTTTGCTAAATCCTCATATTTATGTTCAACTGTATATTCTCAGTATAAATATATATGGAATTAAGCTATGGTGCGTGTCTCAACTGGGTGATCGAGTTAAGAAGTGGTTTTGATACACTTGGAAGAGAGTATTAAAGTTCTAATTTTTAAGACTCTTAGGCAGCTCCGGGTTTCTTTTATTCATTTGAACATTTTCTTCACAATAGCTTGAATTTCAACAGCTTTTCCATGTCTTATCTGCAAGTTTTTATTTTTATTTTTTTTCTTTCCAGACTTCCCTATCACTAGGATGCAAGTTTTTATTTTTAATCGTTGTGCCAAGAAGTAAGTGTGCAAACTGAGCTCTCTGGTACCGGATGTATTTTGTATGCTGGGCCACTTACTGGTAACCGGAACCATGCAAAATAAATTAATTGAGATAATATGACATTGCTAAATTGTATACATATTTATAAACAGCACACTTGTGTAATTCACCTGTGTTGTTACCAACCCCCATTCCTATTTTTCTGTAGTTAAGAATGCTGCATAGATGTGACTTAATACAGTACTGCCATGTGAGTTGTATTTAACTCACGCTGGTTTTGAGCCCAGGGCCTCATGAAGTGCTTATAACTCACACGTCTCTTTACCCCGGGAGCCACGTGGTGCGCATGCAACTCATGTGCCCAAGCTGTAGCATGCGTGTCACGTGATAGGTGGCCCCCTGGGCAAGACCTTGCATTTGGTTTGTGAAAAATCTTATTTTTTGCTGCTGTTATTATTATAATTAATACTGACAATTTAATTGCACGTAACTCACGCACAGAAAACAAGAAAAAAATAACTAATTTTTCATTAAATTAGAAAGGATCGTTTTGTCTTTGAAGTTTTTATTCTATTTTCATAATGAAACACTGTGGCCCCCAGGGAAAAACATTGTTTTTTTTTACTAGCGTGGCAATTAATGAATGTGTTCATATCAGAAAAGAAAGCACACACTCTTGGGGTCTTTTGGGCAAATTGATACAAAGCTAAATATTGATGGTATCAAGTATTTTGTATAAAGTTTTTCATTTGTTATCTCTATGTTTTGGGTTTTGTATATAGTATGTGTATAGCACAGTTCTGTATAGAGTAAACAAGTGAAATAATTTGTTGGTAAAAATAATGTCACTTTGATCTGATACTGCCATTAGCCATAGCTCGAGGTTCATGTCTGGTTTTTGCTCATTCCTAAGACTTAAAATACATCTAAAACAAACATTAAAACATTCTATACTTCAGCTTGCTGTGTCATGTAGGAGTATAAAACTATACCTCTTTTTACCTGCATGTAAGTTTTCTGTTAAAATGTGAATCTCTAAATGAATGTGTATTTGGAATTGTATATGCAGTTTATTTCTGCAACCTATTATTTGTGGATGAGTGTACATATGTAAATTTTGGAGTCGTATACAATTAAAGGGAACAATCTTGCATAGCTCCTTCACCAATTAGCTTTAAGTTATTGGTGCATTGATTGCCTGAGGGCCCCTGACACACTGAGAGTGGTTTTCCTATAGTGGAGAACCAATGGTTATGGCCGGATGAGGAACTAGATTAAAAATAACTGTAGGAGATGTTTTATGGTGGGTAATTTATCTAGAAAACCTAGAAACAGAGCCAGCATATTGTAGCTACATTGCTATGCGAGAATTTGTGCATAAACTAGTAAGATGTGACAAAAATCGTGAATGTTAAGAATGACATGGAATTTTGTGGGAGAAAAAAAAGAAAAAGGAACCAACAAGAAAAAGTTGATGTAGGATAAACCTTCAACTCTCAGTTTTCAGTTGACTTTTCTCTTCTTTAAGCTTTAAAAGATTTATTAGAAGGAAAAGGGCCCAGTATAAATATTCACATCTTCTCACCTTTTTGGGGAATGGAAGAAAATAAATCTTGAGTTTTCCTGCCTATATTCATCTAGAATTGTGCTTTGAACAAAAGTGCTAAATAAAATTTTCTAGTTTGTTTTTTTTTTTTTTTTCTTCCCAAGGAAGTTAGATAAAAGAAGGACATCACAGGAAAGATGATTGTCCTCTGTTCATTGTCCCCTGAGAGGTGAGGAACTAAAGGGGTCTAGTAAAGTTAGAAACTGTCTTGCTCTGAGTCAGGTCTTAAATGCGAAAGCTACATTTAGAAGCATGCAGAATTTCCAAACTAACAAGCAAAGGAAAACTCCAGAGCACTACATGACATGCAAAAGACGCAGGTTTCATTTTTCTTTTCAGTTCTTCACTTTACTCTCCCTCTCTCTTTTTGACATTCAAACTACTGAGGTTGGGAGTGACATTGTCAAGTTCAAAGGCCTGAGGCTCCTTGGTGGATGGAAGTAGATGGCCAGGTGTGAGGAAGAGGAATTTGTAGGATTGTGTCTGGGGTGGACTTGATAGACTGTTTCAGTTAGAAAACTTTTTAAAACCCTAAGCCAGTTAACTTTGACTAAGCATAAAAATGTACAGTACTGGTGTTTACGTTGCTCAAGCCACAAAATTAAAGCATAATTTAAAATGTAGGTTATTTTAATCCATAAAAGACAGAGCATACTTGTATTGGGCTTCTAAGTCTATTCTTGGAAATTATGCAAATAGTAGTAAAAAAGAAAATGGACTGATCTAAATATAGTTTTGTAGTTATAACTGTGAATTTGCCATGTGTATAGGTACAGTATAAATTATATGAATGTAATAAGACATATCAATTGTATTTATACATCATCTTTCTAACATGTTGCCAAACTACGTGCACCATTTATTTGGTGAAATATCTTACAATGATTGTCATTTTCCATAAGTGCTTAAGTACTTTATATATTCAAAAGTAAACTCAGTCCTTCTGGCCATCAACTGTTTGTTTGTTACAGATCTTTGTGTTTCTTAAGTACTTCAAAGTCTTGTGCATTTTTCTGGGGGAAAAAAATCCATTTTGAAGGGATCACTTTTGATCTTTTGTACTCTATGATGTGAACTTTCCCCATATTCCTACATTTAAAAATCAGTGACTTCAGGCCAGTTGTGGTGGCTCACGCCTGTCATCCCAGCACTCTGGGAGGCCGAGGCGGGAGGATCGCTCAAGGTCAGGAGTTCGAGACCAGCCTGAGCAAGAGCGAGACCCCGTCTCTACTAAAAATAGAAAGAAATTAATTGGCCAACTAAAAATATATAGAAAAAATTAGCCGGGCATGGTGGCGCATGCCTGTAGTCCCAGCTACTCGGGAGGCTGAGGCAGGAGGATCGCTTGAGCCCAGGAGTTTGAGGTTGCTGTGAGCGAGGCTGACGCCACGGCACTCTAGCCTGGGCAATAGAGTGAGACTCTGTCTCAAAAAAAAGAGAAAGAGTCCATGAACAGTTGGAAATTTCAAATTCTAGCTGTTTGCAGAATTTATTTTTCATTTTTTTCTTTTCTTTTTCTCTTTTACACTTTTGAGTACTTGAATGTTTGCAGAATTAATGTGAAGAGTCTTTCAGGAAAAAGGATATACTCTTATCTATTCAAATCTTTTTGCTTCGGCCTAACACAAAATTCATCTGTTTTATTTCACACTTTTAAAATATTTGATGGTACCTCAGAGGAAAACGGTCATGATGATTTCTACAATGTTTTGCCTGTAGTTTCAGAAATTTGGTGATACTGAGGCAATTTCCATATATTAAAAATTAGAAAATTTAACCAGGCCGGGGGCAGTGGCTCACACCTGTAACCCTAACACTCTGGGAGGCTGAGACAGGAGGATTGCTCGAGGTCAGGAGTTCGAAACCAGCCTGAGCAAGAGCGAGACCTCGCCTCTACTATAAATAGAAACAAATTAATTGGCCAACTAGTATATGTAGAAAAAATTAGCCAGGCATGGTGGCGCATGCCTGTAGTCCCAGCTACTTTGGAGGCTGAGGCAGGAGGATTGCCTGAGCCCAGGAGTTTGAGGTTGCTGTGAGCGAGGCTGACGCCACGGCACTCTAGCCAGGAAGACGGAGTGAGACTCTGTCTCAAAAAAAAAAAAAAAAAAATTAGAAACAGGAAAAAAAAAAAAAAAAAAATTAGAAACAGGTGTTTGGCAGTGATACTACAGAACTTAGCATTATGTTTATGCAAACAGTTTTTAATATCCTATTGATTGAATAGAATGTATTAATAATAGTTTGCATTCCATAGGCACAAAGACCTCTTATAGAGTGTATCCCTTGAATGTAGCTTAGTAAGCTCTGGCAACAGAGATCTGTCTTGTTTTGTTCAAATTCCATACCTGTCATTTACTATATGTTTATCGATGAGGAACAATCATATTTGCTAAAGGAGAAAATTAATGCATTGAATTATACTTTCATTACTTTTATGTTGGTGGGAAAACAGTCATTAGATAAAGTACAAGTTATTATAAATATAGTTCACAATCTTGTTCTGAAACTCATTTAAAGCAAATCAAAACCTAGGCCAGGCGTGGTGGCTCACGAGTGTAATCCTAGCACTCTGGGAGGCCAAGGTGGGAGGATTGCTCGAGGTCAGGAGTTCAAAACCAGCCTGAGCAAGAGGGAGACCCGTCTCTACTATAAAGAATTTAATTGGCCAAGTAATATATCTAGAAAAAAATTAGCTGGGCATGGTGGCGCATGCCTGTAGTCCCAGCTACGAGGGAGGAGGCTGAGGCAGGAGGATCGCTTGAGCCCAGGAGTTGGAGGTTGCTGTGAGCGAGGCTGACGCCACGACACTCACTCTAGCCTGGGTGAGAGAGCGAGACTCTGTCTCAAAAAAAACAAACAAAAGAAAACTTGTCAAGGCCAGTGAAGAGTGGAATTAGAAATTCTTAGTAAATGTTCTATTTTCACTTAACATCTACCTTAGTTTCAGAAGATGAAATTCCAATGTAATACAGTCTTTTTTTTTTTTTTTTTTGAGACAGAGTCT